GCATGGCCTCCCAGTTTGTCTCTTCATCATATAGCATGACTCGTAGAGTTGACTCGTAATGCTCGATGGGCAAGAAGGCTTCGGCACCGTACACCCTGAGAAATAGGGTTTCATCGGTTGCCCCTTTTTCAATTGTCCAGTTGGCCCATAGGACATGAATTAGCTCTTCGGCCCATAAACCACCGGATCTTACATTCTTCTTTTTAATACCGTCTTAGATGAGTTTGTTGATGGCTTCAACTTGGCCGTTTTCTTGGGGTCGGCCGACTGATGCAAAATAGTGTGAGATCCCTTGATCTCCCAACCAAGTTTTGAGCTGAGGCGTCTCAAATTGAGGTCCATTATCAGATACTATAGACATAGGTACCCCGAACTGGGTGATAATGTTTTTCTAGATGAAGGAGATGACATCTTTTGTCTTAATGCCTTTGACCGCCTCTGCTTCAACCCACTCGGTGAAATAGTCCACAACCACAAGAATATAGCGCTCTCCGCCTGGTGCATGCGTATACAGACCTAGAATGTCCATGCCCGATTTAGCAAACGAGAATGGGATGTGGATTGTCGTCAGGTTAGTATCCGAGCGATAGATAACCTTGCTAAACATTTGACACTTGTCACATTTTTTAACAAATTCCATGGCATATGACTCAAGAGTTGGCCAGAAATAATGTCGCTTGGCTCTGACGGCTAAGGATCTGCCGCATGAATGAGAGGCACAGTATCCCGCATACAACACTTCGAGAACTTCTCTTGCCTTTTCCGGGGTAACAAACTTCAGAAAGGGCTTAAAAAAGCCCGCCTTTAAGAACTCTCCATCTGTCATTTCAAAGTTTGTTGCACGCATTTTCAACACGGCTGCCTTTTGGGGTGAATCAGGAAGCGTGCTATTTGAGAGATACGCCCAGATGCCATCAATCCAAGCAGAACTTTGGTCCAGAATTTTAATAGGCTCGTCATCAGATATACTTTGCTTTTCCATTATTTCCCAACTGACTGACTGAGGCGTATCACAGGAGGCGGGGGATGCTAATTTTAACAAAGCATTCGCCTGGTTGTTTTGCAATCGAGGCACTTAATTTAGATGAAATTGTTCAAGTGCCCCCGCTTCAGCCTTAACGGCCTAAGATAATTGATCATAGCTGAATGGGTGGCTTCATACTCACCATGGTATTAGCTAACGACCAACTAAGAGTCTGAGCAGGCGTCAATTTTTGTTGCACCCTGCCGCCTTACACATGCGGATACCGACTAATAGGGTTTCATATTCTGCCACATTGTTTGAGGTCTGGAACTTGAACCGTAGTGCATACTCATATCTGTCCCTTTCAAGGTATTCATAGATTATGCCTGCACCAAAACCGTTCATAGTAGAGCTCCCGTCTACATGCACCTTCCAAACCTGATCAAGGTTATCCGAAGCAACCGACATTGTTATTTGGACAATGAATTCGGCAAACGCCTGATTCTTCACTGCCTTTCTTGGTTCATAGGTGATTTCAAGACTTTGCATTTCAATAGCCAACTTGAATATTCTGCCGGATGAGTCCATAGTTGTCATTGGCCGCTTGAGGCGCTGATCTGTGTAGATCACCACCGAATGTGCTAAGAAGTGTGGTTTCAACTTCTTAACAGCCATGTAAAGCGCAAGACAAAAATTATCAACCATGGGGTACCGGAGTTCGACATTCCTGAGCACATGGCTAATGAAATAGATCAGAAGCTGATTGGCGTCTCTCTCAGCAAGGAGAACAACACATGGAAAAGGGTTAACAAGCCTTGGCAAGGAGTGTAAATGCTCTTTTAATTTTTGAAAGGCCTCCCCACCATCATCTCCTCGTTCAAATCTAGTCTTCTTCCTGATTGCCTGGAAGAAGTAAAGGCATTTGTCACCTGACCGGCTAAGGAATCTCCCAAGCGCACCCAGACAACCGGTAAGCCTCTGGGCTTCCTTGACAGTGCAGGGTGACTTCATGTCAATCAGCGCCTATATCTTCTTGGGGTTAGCCTCTATCCCCCTTTGATCAATAAAAAATCGGAGAAACTTCCCAGGCTCAACACCAAAAACACACTTTTTGCGATTTAACATGACCTTATGCCGCCTAAGTGAGGTGCAGGTTTCTCGGAGATCAGCAAGGTGATCCGTCTTTAGCTTGGATTTGACTCTCATGTCATCAATATACGCCTTTACATTCCTCCCAATCTGATTAATGAAGACTATATTAATCATCCATAAGTATTAAATTGTGATCATTACCATTGTTTTTGGGTTATTGGTAACAATGAAGAACTCTAATAATCCTTTATTGGTATTAAATTATGATCATTACCATTGTTTTTGGGTTTCAGTGAGTCCGACCCACCGCGGAAGGAAACCCGACCCCCAAACAAAACTCACAATAATTAAAACCATAAACATAATTAACCTAAACACAAGACTAATTAATTAATTATTACCTTTGTAGCATGCTTCGCTCACCAAAACGAGCTCTTACTTGAAAGCCTTCAAGTCCCGCTCACACGACAACCTCCTTCGAAATCCACCCGCAACGCGACCACCGAACTCGGTCTATTGTCTTGGAGTTAACAAGGCTCGACCTCAAAACCCGAGTAATTAGTGTTCAAAGGTTTTCACAATGTGATGCCTTTTTCAACACTTACTCAAGTGAAGAATTCTCAATTACCTAGGTTGGTATTTATAGGCAAAGGCTCTCAATATTCAGATCATCTTTTTATGTGGGAGATTTTGATTTATTCATTTTATTTTAAATCTAAAATAAAATAAATAAGCAAACTACTAATAAATCAACAAGTGTTAAGATCACATGAGGAGTTAGGTGAGGACCATTTTGAGGAGGGGCGGACCAAACTTGCTACCCACTCTTCTCCTAAAAACCGTTTAACTCACCCCTCACACCCCCTCTAGCTTTGCGCCACTTGGCACCCACAATTAAGCACCAAGCCTCACAAGCGTGGGCTGCTATGTTTCTGCCATACACTCAGCCAGCAGGCCTCGCACTTGCGTGCAGGCTGCTTGGCCGAGGCCCAACTGCACGCAAGGCCAGCAACACGCAGCCATGCTGCTACGGGCTGGCGCGCCTAGCTTGCTGGCCCTTGCGGCTGGATGCTGTAGCTTGGCTTGCTAGCCAATGCACGCACATGGCTGCGCTCCCAGCCATGCTAGCATGGGTGCGCTAGCATGCACTAGCCAGCCAAAGCTCGTCTTAGTGCGCATGCTAATCATCATGCTAGGCCATATGCCCCTAGCATTCGGTTTGCTCGGGGTTTTATGATGTTAGGGGCATTACAATAATTGTTGATTTATTAGTTTGTCTCATCTCGTCATTTTATTATTTTCAATACGACTTTCGACGCTCGGTTTTGACGCTCTAACCTCGAATTTCCGACGTCTAAATATTAATTACTCGGGCGACTCATTAATTCCTTCTGAATTAATTCGTCGCTTTGGTTCGCTAGTTGCTAGGGTGTGTGGCCCAAAGGGTTCAATTAAGATTAAACTGTAATATTAATTATTCATTAATATTACTTATCGGAAGCAGCCTCCCGCCAGGTATTCCGATCACTTGACCTCACTGAATAATTAGCTTTCTAATAATTTCGAACCCTCTATCGGAATAATACACTTGTTCGAAGGACACAATTCCTTTCAATCTCCCACTTATCCTTCTGGACAAGTGTGCATTTAGTGTATATCCTTTTTCCTATGTCACTTAATGTCTCTTCATGAACTATAAGGTAAGATTTATTCGTCATCCTTGTTATGTCCAAAAGTGTTTCTCGATTCCCGAGTTTGACTGTTAATAAACAGATGATTTCTACAATTCATCCGAGCACGGCCATGCATTTTACAATCTTGCTCTGTGAGAGGCCCTGTAAACAACAAATACATCTTCCCTATTTTTAATAAGGGGGACATTCCCAGTCTTGTAATGTAGCTTCTTTTACTGAGAGGACCTAGCCGCCCAAGTATTGCTGTTATAATCCCCTATTATGGCAGACGTTTGACAACATCAAAGCGGACTAGTACTCAAACAAGAGAACTCACAATACTCATGGTCGAGTAACTAGGTTCCGATAGCCATAATGAGAAGTATACTTATGACGTTTTTTTTTAAAATCCTAAAGTATTCTCATAGGTCGATCCAATATGGTTCCAAACCTATACCTGTGCAAATGATTTATGACAATCATGTTCTTGTAGCACAATAAACGGTGCTATAAATCAAACTACACACTAATCTCAAGTGGTCATTAAAATTCCATTGTTAAATGACCTAGATTTGGGATAATTTTCAATTATAATATTCAACGTTCACTTAATATGTGTTTCCTTATCAAGATTGGTCTTGATACCCTATTTTGAATATTCTCATAAACGAATGGACTCATTATTTAATCCTAAACCATAATTAAACAGAAAATAGAGTGATAAAATTGCATGTAATTTTAAATTAATCCAAAACCTGAATGATTTTTCTTCATGCCTTACAGTAAAATGTTTAAAAATTAACTAAAACACTAAACAAAGAAATCAAAGCCATTCTCCAATGTCCCTGATTCCCACTACCTCAACGTGCTTGTTATGCTTCACTTGAGGCAAAGTTTTAGTAAGTGGATCGACTACATTGTCATATGTTCCAACTTTACAAATTCTGATTTCACTTTCTGATTTCCATTCTCGAATCATGTGAAACCGCCGCTTGACATGTTTGACCTTCAGATGTTCCCTTGGCTCTCAGGCTGAGAAATAGCTCCATTGTTGTCACAATAGAGGGCTATTGGACCCTTGATGAAGGGTACAACATCAAGTTCACCAACGAACTTACGAATCCAAACAACCTGCTTAGCTGCTTCAACAGTTGCCAAGTATTCGGCTTTATTTGTAGAATCTGCAGTTGTGCTCTGCTTGACACTCTTACAACTAAACGCTTCTCCATTTAGACAAAACACATATCGACATTGCAATTTGAAATCGTTTATGTCTTTCTGGGAGCTTGCGTCGGTATAACCTTTAACAACTAATTCCTCCAAACCACCATACACCAGAAATTTATCCTTGTTCCAATAGTAGATAAAAGGTCATTGACACCGATCAATGGCCACCGGTTTTTAAAAATCGGTGGGAAAAATAAGGGAAAAATTGGGTGAAATTTTGAGGGAAGATTATTACCCCCGATTCAAACCGAATCGGTGGGGAAAAGATTAATCCCACCGGTTTTGAACCGGTGGCAAAAGTTTAAAAAAAAAATCCAAAAAACGCCCCTCTATTTTCTGTCTCTTTCCGCGTTCTCTTTCTCTTTCCTGACCCTCGACCTTCAATCTCTCTTTTCTTTCTCCACCCTCCTCATTTAGATCTCCCTCTTCTCTCTCTCTTTCCTCTCTCCAACGTGCCGTCGTCCATTTCACCTCGACGGCGCACTCTCCTCTCAGCTCTCTGTCTATCTATCCATCCCACCTCGCATTCACTCTCGTCTTAGCTCTCTATTTCTCTCTTTCATTTACCCTTGCACAACCACCAACGCCGCCGCCTATTCGAACCATGCAAGCATCGATTGGCCACAACCACCGTTGCCGCCGTCGTCAATTTGAACCAACTACTACAACCACAACAAACTTGAATCAATTATCGATTCAAAAATCAGAAATTTGATGATAGGGTTTCTGGGTTCTTCAAGTTTGCATTTGGTCCAATTATTCAAGTTAAATGCCTTGATTTTTTTGGGTTTAACTTATGTAATATTGTTCGAAAAATTACTCCATTTTTACTCACGATCCACTCTTCAAATCCTAGGGTTAGGGTCCAAATGGACCCAGTTGCTTCGGTTGTCGATAAGACCATTATCAGCAGTGAGGAGAAAAAAAACCTCTCAATCTCTCTCTACCCACTTTCTCTCTCTTTTCATCCAATTCCTCTCATGAGAGGTTTTTTTTACTACATCAATGCTTAAAAAAAAAAAACTCCTCATCACTTTATCCTCCACTATTTACTATACCCCATCATAATACACATCACCTTTTTTATTTTCTCTTCATTTTTTAATAATATTTATACTACATATTTAACTTTCCAATACAATTAAAATGTAATTAAATTCATAAGTTTTTATTTTTAGTTTAGTTAATTACGTTTTAAATTTAATTGAGTGATTAATGAATATAGGATATTTTTTTTGTTTTTGAAAATATGTCAAAATATATGGAAATGGATGTCTATTTATAGAGAAAAAAAAATTATGATCATGGGTAAACTTTTTTTTTAAAAAAAAAAAATTAAATATGATTTATAGCCGTTATAAAATTACTTTTAGCATTTTTTAGTGGGTCCCGTTGCTGCACTATTCATTTCCAGAACTCCTCAAGACTTGAGAGGTTCTTGTTCTCCTCATGAGGAGAATTAAAACTCCTCACTAGTGTGAAGCATTTTTTTTCTTTTTCAACCCTTATTTCTCCTCGTGAGGAGTTTTTCCCTCACTGTTGGGAATGCTCTAATATAAAATCATTTGCAAAATTCGGCCAAGATCTTATCACCGGCATCACTCGCCGCCGGCAAAATTAGTCCCATCAAAATCCGGTACGTTTTTTTGTTTCTCACTTCTGTTTTAATTTCTTTATATTATTATTTTGTTTGGGCTTGTTAATTTCTCAAATTTGATACTGCAATGTTGTAAAATGTTGAATTTTATCTTGTTTCCAGCTTATTATATGATAATTTACAATTTTTATTTTTATTTTTTTTGTAATTATTGATTTGATAGTGTCAAATTTGATCTTAATTACTTGACTTGCTTTAGTTTCTGCCAATTTTACGCAGAAATTATCATTTTAGCCAGTACAATTTGATCTTAATTTGAAGTTTTGTGGAATATATGTTATGTTTTATTTGGTAGAATAATTGCATTGTTATTGAATTTAGTAAAGAAATATTCTTGATTGTGTATGAAGTATGAAATCATCTGTTTTCTGAATGATAATTAAGATAAATGAGGAGTTGTTCCATTGTTCTGTATGAATTTAGTTGGTTAAGGTGGGTTCGAGTTAGGGTTAGGGTGGGTTAAAGTGGTGGATCAGGTGGGTTTAGGGTGGGTTAAGGACAAAGTTATAATTTATAAAGACCATTAATTGTAAATGAAAACTCCAATGAATTTGTGTTCTATCTAGATGAAGCTAACATAAACTTATTTATACTAATGCCAAATTTATAGGATTCAGTTATATTCTGCTCTTGTAGTAATATGACTGCACAATTCTTTTTTGTTGGGTTAATGAAAGTGCTAAACTTTTAATGACATTTTGGTGTATGAAATAGGTACTTTTTGATATATCTCATATAACAAGGTTGTTAGACAAGTGTGTATGATCTTAGATCTGTTTTTAATTATAATCTGATCAACATCTGATTATGCCATTCCAAATTAATACGGTTGATTCTTTTATGGTATTGGACATGATGATTTGAGCAATTAACCAATTACTGGCACAAATATGATTTATAAGAATGAAATAGGAACCCTTAACTAAGAATTGTCCAATGGAAGCTTCCAAAATCCATGTTGCTAGGTCTGTAAAAAAAAAAAAAAAAAAAAAAAACATTTCACAAGTATATACTTGGTCACCTCTTTCTTTCCAAAGACACCGGAAGGCTAGGAATATTGTAAGTTAAATTCCTATCCTATCTTATCTATGGCAATTTGCATATGAAACCATGAATTTAAAGCTGTAATTGAAGTTGCAGTATGATGTTGTTTAAACTCCATGGTGCTAGATAATATAGTATTTTGTGCGCCAAAAAATACCATATATCTTTTTTGAAAAAGGGATATTGGCCTTTTATTCTCATATATGAGTTCATTTGTTCCTTTCTTTTAATTTGTATACTTTCTTCATTTGCAGGAAACAAGTGAAATGTCTTGGGAAGTATTTAAGCATTAGTCTAATCTGGAGCTGCTTTAAGTGGTTTTTCAGCGGTATTGGTGATTCATGTGGGTTTGATAATTTTCCCACTCTTGGCTTAACACTATTCCACAATATGTAAGCTTCTTATATCATCTGTTTCTTTCATATTTCTTTCCTGCTTGTAACTATACAATTTTTTTTATGATTATTGAAGTTCTTGTTGTATAATAATTTCTAGCTCTACTACCAGATTAGATTAGGCCTTGTAATAATTAAGGTAAATGCAGAATAATGAAAATGAGGTTAAACTAGGACTTGTAAAGACACAGTAAACTCAGTTTAGGATTTTTTATTCCTTGAAATATTAGCCACTTGAATATATGGACAAGAATGGATGAAGTCGTGGAGGGATGTGATATGCATGAAGATGAATGATAAATGTTGTTTTATTATTAGTAGTTTATAATGACTTCATTTTCCGTATGTTATAAATTTGGTGCTCTGACTATACCCCTAAGAAGTCTGCAGATAATTGCGTAAGATTATGCAAAAGACTATAACCATCGTATTGGCTATGTAGGTTGTATAATGGAATTCTACATTCAATTTTAAATGTAGGTTGTATAATGGAATTCTACTAGGAATGAGGGACTAGTGAAGCTAACCTGGCAATGTTGCAGCTTCTGCTATCCTGCCAAGGCTGCTGCTATAGCTGCCTTGCCATCGAGGAGTTCGGTGTGATTGATATGTGAACCCAAAAGATCATGATAAACCAGTTGAAAAGGGTATGATTTTTACTCCATACTCTGGATCCTAAATGACTACATAACATGACCTTATTGCGACTGTGATTTACTAATTCATGTTTTTATGATTCTTTCATCAGATAATTGCTGAGATGACTTATGGAGGCGTGGACAGAAGTGTCGAATGTACTGGAAATATTCAAGCCATGATTTCTGCTTTTGAATTTGTTCATTATGTATGTTCTAAACAATCAAATTTTTGACTTGTTGAATCCCTCCCTTCTCTATTAAATAAGCCTGAACTATCCCTTACTCCTTAAGATGTGTATTGATTGATTTTATGCGGATTTGATTGTTGGGGTTTGGTGAGTCCTACTCACTGCGAAAAAAAAACCCGAGCCAAGGATCACGCTCGCAATAATTAATATCACTAATACATAAAATAATCATAAAGGGAAAAATAGGAAATATACCTTTGTCGCGTGCTTCGCCCGACCGATTGGGCTCTTACTTGAAAGCTAGCCCTGAAAACACGAAGGCCTCCAACGGAGATCCACCCGCAAAACGACTACCGACTTTAAGGTCCGTTGCCTCGGGGTTAGCAATGCCCGACCAAAACCCGAGTATTATGTGAGTTCAAGGGTTTTTGCAATGGCAATGCCCTATTAAACTCCTACTCAAGCATCATTCCCAAAATCCCAACTTGGGTATTTATAGGGAATGATGAGAGTATGAAATTCTCTCCCATCATTGTGGGACTATGAGAATTCCACATTTTATTTTAAAGTTAAAATAAAATAAATAAGCAAACTACAACAAGTGTCATCAATACATGTGAAGGGAAGTGAGAACCACTTGGAGGGGGGGGGGGGCAAACTTGCTCCCCACTCTCTTCCTCTTCTTGTGCCACATGTCCCTCACACTTAAAGCTCCTCACATTCTTCCCTATTGCTCACGGACCTAGCTAGCCCCACACTAAAGTGCGGGCTTCTGCTGCTAGCTCTCTCGGTCAGCACGCCCACGCTCATGCGTGCGGGCTGCTGCAGCCGAGGGCTGCTGCTAGATGCTAGGGATGCTAGATGCAGTGCGCCAGCATGGCACGCAAAAAGTGCGGGCTGCTGGCAGCAGCTTGCTAGCAAGCCTCGCACTTGATGCGGGCTGCTAGCTTGGCTAATCCCCTAGCACTCGGGGTTCCGATGCTAGGGATATTTTGGTCATTGTTGATTTATTACGATATTGCCGTCTCATCTTTTATTATTTTTGACTCGACTTCCGATGCTCGGTTTTGACGCTCTTAGCTCGAATTTCCGACGTCTAAATATTTATTACTCGGGCGACTCATTAATTTCTTCCAAATTATTTCGTCGTGTCGGTTCGTTCATTGCTTGGGTGTGACCCGAAGGGTTCAGTCAAGATTAAGCTATAATATTAAGTATGCATTAAAATTACTAATTAGAAGCGGCCTCCACCTAGGCATTCCGATTACTTGAACTTACTGAATATATTAGCTTTCTAATAATTCTATACCCACTATCAAAATAGTACACTTGTTTGAAGGACACCATTCCTTTCATTGATCGACTTCAGGGCTGAAATGTTCTTTTTGGTATTTGACGACTGATTTTATGCTTTGCCTGAATTTTAAATGACTGAATTTGGTGCAAATTGTTGTTAGAGTTAAATGAAATGATTCTACTTGATTATCCTTAGTGACAACATCTTTTGGTGCAAGTGACTAATAAATGTTTGAGTGTGTTGTGTGGATTTGGTGCCCTGTTTTGTTTGTAATGGTTTTGTGAGTATAATAGTATCTAATGTGATTTTGTTTATAATTTTATATGTAAATTCATATGATTATAGAGGCTGTAACGCACTTGCTTGTGAATAAGAGCTGTTGTGGTGTGTGCCTGTGGTGTGATTGTGCATTGGTGTACAGGCTGCCTTGAAGCTTAAATTGAAATTACGGGCTGCTATGTGTGAGGAGCAGAGTAGGGGCAATGAGGGAGTTATGTGGGGTAAATTGGATTTGAGAATTTTGTTTACTTGCAGAATAACTCTTACGACTTATTATCGTTTTGATAACACTGCTCCTAGAAATTAATCTTAAGTTTGGGTGGAGTCCTTCGAACAAGTGTACTATTCCGTTAGAGGGTTCAGAATTATTAGAAAGTTAATATATTCAGCAAGGTCAAGTGATCGGAATGCCTGGGTGGAGGCCGCTTTCGATCAGTAATATTAATGCATAATTAATAATTACACCTTAATCTTGACTGAACCCTTCGGGTCACACCCAAGCAACTAACGAACCGAAGCGACGAATTAATCCGGAAGGAATTAATAAGTCGACCGAGTAAAGAATTCGAGCTTAGAGCGTCGAAACCAAACGTCGGAAGTCGAGTAAAAAATAGTAAAAGACGAGTCGTGAAAATAATAATAAATCAACAAAGACCAAAATACCCCTAGTATCAGAATGCCACGAGCAAACCGAGTGCTAAAGGCATATGACCTAGCATGGTGGCTAGCATGCGCACCAAGCCGAGCCTAGGCTGGCTGGTGCGTGATAGCGCACCAATCTTAGCATTGCAAGGCTAGGCGCGCCAGCCGCAACAGCATGGCTGGGCCAATGTGTGCTGCCTAGCAATGCTGGGCCAAGCCACGAGGCCAGCAGGAGCTCTCAGCAGTAGCCCGCATCCTTGGTTTTTAGTGAATTTTGGGAGGAAAAGGCGTTCTAGAAATAGCTTTATCCTTTTAGGGACTGGTTTTTAGCCAAAAAACGACCAGAAATGCACTTTTCGAGGGATTTTTCGTTTTGACGAAAATTTTTAAGTCTTTCTAACCTTGAAAATTCATTGCATATTTATGGTGGTTATGTATTTGGTTCTTTCCTTAATTTATATGCAATTTTAAACCTCTTTAGGCATAATTTCTTGGTGGTAATTTATGATTGAAAGCTTGGTTTTATTTTTCACATAATTGCAAATTAATTGCATTATGTGTGAAATTGTTGTTCTTTGAGGCTTCTAAGTACTAAAGATTCAATCTTTAATTATGTTAAGTGATTGAAACTTTGAGTTATTAAATTCCATGTTTTTTGGTTAAACTTTGTTGATTTAATCATTTAAGTTGATTGGAATCATAAAGTTTAAAACTTTTGACAGAAATTTGTTTATCTTCATATTTTAAGTATTCACAAGTATTAAAGTTGGAGTTTTATTGAACTTATGTTCATTTTTCAAACTCCCTTTTATTTTGTCAAAATCTCAAGATTAATTTAAATTGATTAAATTAATAATGAGAATTGCCCTAATTTATTTTGTTACATCAAGGGCCACATTATTGACGCGTGAAAGTTCGCTGATGTGGGCGGTGTAACGCTTAGCGACATCGGGCCCACTCCCACGTTCGTTGAGCATCAAATGGTTGTGCGGGGTTTGAGCTCTCCAAGTCTTAGTGCTAGGCACTTAGACATTTTGGACTACGTAAGTTTTTGTTTAAATTGTCGTTTTAATTATTTTAATTATTTTGTTTATTTGATTAAAATTTTGGAGGCTAGCCCTCGGTTTTTTGAGCGACATTTGCAAAATTTAATTTTGGCAAACATTTGGGTTTACCGACTTAATTAATTGGATTAATTAAGTTGCATAAGGAATTTAGTGGGAGCTTCATTTATTATTTTCATAACTGGTTAAAACAACTTTGACTAGTTTTAATTAGATGTGTTAATTGGGTTAACCACCTAGATTAGTTACTAGTTCTCGCATGTTTATGCATTGTTACTTGTTTATCGTTGTAAAATGCATGGGCCATTCACAGATAGTGAATGGATGAATGGAATGTATATTCTCTCACAGGTTTTATGAAATGGCAACTAGTGGGGACCGATTAGGATAGAAAATACGGTCTATGATCCATGATGTATTTTTGTAAATCTAAAAACGGTATGCGAACCATTGAGTATTTTTGTACCTTAATATTTAGATAAGTCCTAATCGTAGATACTAGTAGTTGCATTTATATTGGTCAAGTCTTGGAAGACGAAGCCATGAAGTTGCAAATGAAGACCTTTTGAAGATTTGAAGATCTCAAGGGGTCATGCTAGTTGCCAAATGAATCTCTATTTATGTTTTTCGATATATATACATTTATGTATATGATGAATTATATGTTAGATGCATGTTCAGGATTTCAAATTTTGTGATGATTAATTAAGTTCACTTAAATCAACCAACATAGAAACCCTAGGTCCCTAAATATTGAGTAAAACTTGCCTTTCCAAAACAACACTTACCAACCGAACGAGGGTAGTGGTGGGCTATGCCAAAGCGAGGCATCACTACTTCTCCAAGGAACGTAAGGCATACCGGGTATGCAAGTTGGTTTTGGTTGTACTCAACGATATGAGTGATGGAGGCCTAACATGTCGTGGCAAAGTGGATAAATTGTTAAGAGAGCATTAGATGCGACGATTTATTCAACAAGAGTGGCTGATAGCCATTAGCAAATTAAAGCGTTGCTTACCTTAGGAGATTGAGTGTTAAGACAACCCAAAGCATGATTAACCACTCTTTGTTTCTTTGGATCTTGGTATCAACTTATTCTCACCCACAATGGGGACAACTTTTAAATGTGTGAATAAGACGTTTTAAATAAGTTTGATTAAAATGCATGAATTCAATCTTATTTAAGTATTATGAATGGTTCTTCATTTCAAATTATTTCAACTGTAGAATCATGTCTTCCACTAATGACAACAACCTTATGCTCCCGGAATTGCCTGAAAAGTTGCCAATTTCTCTGAACTTGGTAAACTTTAAGGAATGGGAAGATGAACTCCGAAAGACCCTCAAAAATTGCCACTTAGAGCACATTCTTGACACTCAAATCCCGAGTTTTTACTCAAAGGGGATTATGAGTTATGAGGCACATGAGGAATTGAGTGTGGATTGCAAAAGAGTTTCTAGAATCATGGCAAACTCCATCCCGATTCAATGGAAGGGGAAGTTCTCCAACTATTTTCCGGAAATTATGCTTAAAGCTCTTAAGGATGTAGTCAATTTGATGGTCAACAAGAGTACCAGAAGCAATTATGATGGACTTGTGGGAGATGTCACTAGGTCACTCTCGAACATGAGGATCAAGCCACCGCAAGATGGGTGTCTCACGAAAGAGAGACAAGAAGTATGGGCTAAGGTCTATAGTGCATGACTTAGTCCTGGGATGCCACTTCAAGCTCATGTGCTCAAAATGACAAGGCTATTCACCCATCTGGAGCTAATTGGAAAACCAGTGGACGATGAGAAAGCGACTCACATGCTACTAA